TCATACTGGGCTCTGTAAGATGGGGTGCACAAACTGGGGGTTGACATACGAGAACCCTTCGAAATCAGCCTGGTCGATGTTAGCGATGACCAGCTGGTCGGGAGGAGTTAGGACGGGCTGCCCGCGTGTGAAGAACTTGTCGAAGTTTTCTGCGCCTTTGCCACACTGTGGAGGAAGAGGAAAGGGGGGAGGTCAGTTGGCATGCGGAGCACGGAGCGTGGAGCACCCCGCGGGGAGGAGCCCCCGGGGCATCGGGCAGGTTAGGCGGGAGAACTTGGAGGCTTGCAGGTCGCTGGGTTGAAAGCCAGGCACAGCCAACAAGAACGAGACTCGCTCGGGTGTACATCTTCACCCCCCTCCTCCGCAGCGAACCCCTCGGCAGAAATGCGCTGTGGACAGTGAGGGGACCCCAAGGGGGCCGCTGCTTCATGTCTATCTTACAGAGCAAGCAGGGCCTGAGCATGGATCACACACATACACACACACACACACACACACACACACACACACGCACGCACAGGCACACGCACGCACGCACACACACGCCTGCACACGCACGCACATGCACAAGCACACACACACATGCACACACACGCGAGGCATCAGTCTTGGTCCCACGTGGAAGGCTGGGGCGTGAATGGGGTGCAGGCAGTGACCCCTGGACCCAGAGGTTGGGGTGACTGCTCCACATCTGGTTCTTTGCGACCGCGTTTGTAATAAAGTAAAGGCGCTATGATTCGTGCCTTCCAACTGCTCAACCCCTAGGCCCGTCTCTAACCCGCACTGGGGGAGGGTGAAGGCGAGGACGGGCATCCCCCTCGGGCCCTGGCGGACTTCCACGTGTCGGACGGAACTGGTCCGCCAGCCCACAGGTGGACGTGGAGTTCGTGTGCAGCGGGGCCTCAGGCTTGGGTTTGCCCTGGTGCCCGGAGTGGGCAGAGCAAAGGCTGCTGACTGTCTGCAGGGATGTTCCTCTCCTCCAGGTCCCCCCCCCCCCCCCCCCCCCCCCCCCCCGCCCCAGTGCTCGGCAGACGGGGCTGCAGGCAGAGCCGCCCTGTGGAGGCTCTGAGACACACCGCGGCCATGGCAGCCCAGCCCCCAATGAGGCCAAGGGGTGTCCTCACTGTCCCCGCCCCCCAGAGGGGCTGTGGCAGTTAAAGTCCTCAGACCCCCGGGCGGCTCTGAGACAGGGAGCTGGGAGGTGCCCGGTGACCTGAACCACGACCCCCACACTCGTGAGGCCTTTTACTTGCGGGGCCATGGGCAATGGGGACAAACGCTCCATCAGCAGAGGCTGTAAACGACCCAGCATTCCCAGAGGATGCTCTAGGGCAGCTGTGGGGGGTCCATCCCGTCCCCTCATCTGTGAAACGGGAGGAAGACGAGGCTCCCTGCCTGGGCGGCGAGGAAGGTGACATGTGGAGTTTCGCACACAGCCGGCTTGTGGTGAGCGCATGGCACAGTCCAGGCCCGGGGCCACCCCTCTTGCCCTTTCCCACGTCTCTCCCATCTCCTAGAAGGCTGCCTGGGAATCTAGCCTCACTGCACTCTCCCCGCCTTCTTATCAGCAACAGAACCTGCCCCAGGGACCCATCGCAGCGGAAGGCCGGCCATCCAGGCAAAGCCAGGCCTTCCTCACGGGTGGCGTTCCTTCCGGCTGGTTTTCGTTTTTACAAGTGACCACGTGCTCTTAACTGCAGAGAGTTCAGACCAGGGGCTGGTGCGTGGAAATGAGGGGCGTGTTGGTGGGGAAAAGGGGGCAGGTGGGTGGGAGATGAGGAGTGTGTGTGGGGGGGAGCTGTTCGGGGCCCTTCCAGCCCCCGCGGAGGCCATGCTAACTGCTGGTCCTGCTATCACGGGGTTTCCCTCCGCCTCTCTGTTCCCTGGAGGAACACAGAGCGCCTTCGGAATAAAGGTCAGCGGGAGCGAGGTCTGCGGTCGGCACCTCCCACACGCACAGGCCATTCTGAGCCACTCAGAGGCTCTCCCAGAAGAAGGGCACAACCATACCCACCCGCGCGCCCCCCCCAATCACAGGCCCCACCCTGCCTGGGGCACCCCATCCAGACACGCTGTTGCAATGACAGCTAGAGAAACAGCCCTCCTTCGAATGCTCCAGTGGTTCTCAACCAGGGACAACTTGGCACCCCACCTCCTTTCTGGGGTCACTGGGCAATGTCTGAATTCGTTTTTGGTTATCATGACTCGGACAGGGGTAGGGGTGCTGTTAGACACCCTGCAGTGCACAGGGCACCCCCTGCCAAGGATTGTTGGTCCAACATGTCAACAGTGCTGATACCAAGATGGCGATGCCAGGCAGAGGCAGTCCTGAGCTCAGACAAGGAGATTAGGCAAGAACGGCCACCTGCGGGCAGAGAATGGCCAAGCCGCAGAAGCCCACGGCGCAGGTGCTGTCAGCAAGCGTTCCCGCTGCGGCAGGAGCTGGCTTCAAGGAGAACGTCCTTTGGGAACCTGACTGATTGACACCATTCAAGTGAATCTGCTGCGGGTGTTCCCAGGGGCTGGGGCAGTGCTCCCTGGAGGAGCAACCACTTGCATGTCTGTTGCTGTTCACGAACCAGGCAAAGATGGGCAAGAAGAACTCCTGGAACAATGGAAAAGAAGGCGAAGTCTCTAAAAGAAAGAGGAAGGCAAGCGCAGTACATGTCCCTCTGCTGGCCGGGGTCCCCCGTCTCGCTCCTGACTTGTGTGTGACCTTTCCCGTGAGGACCATCTTGGTAGCTGGGAGAATCCATCCTCTTCCAGTGGGAAGTTCCAAAGCCAGCACTTAGCTGCCACAGAACAGGAAACGAGAAAAACCACCGGCTGGTGTGGCTCAGTGGTTGAGCATTGAACCATGAACCAGGAGGTCATGGCTTGATTCCCAGTCAGGGCACATGCCTGGGTTGCAGGCTTGATCCCGAGTAGGGGGCGTGCAGGAGGCAGCCGATCAATGATTCTCTCTCATCATTGCTGTCTCTCTCTCTCTCTGAAAT